AATTTATAACCCTCCCCCCCCAAAACCAAAACAATACAATGGAAAATCAGAAAATCTCTGTGGCAGCTTGAAGGAGTCCTTCACCTCCTGTAGTCACAAGGCAGACACGGCCGAGGACCCAATCCACCTTAAGGTCTGTAGAACTTGCATACCAATACACCTTCGACTAGCCAGATCTCTCATGCACAAGGGCATGAAGAAAAGGAGGGGAACTCCAAGACAAGGGATGGGCATATTCGAGCAGACACAGGCAAGACTAAGAACTCTGAACCTCCAGTCCTTCTTAGTTTTACTTGCTTGTCGAGGTAGCTCCCCTGCTCAAGCACCTGGGAGCACCATTAACAGTCTGATAGACTGGCAATTTGAAGCCTTGACTCAACTGTAGCCTACAGTCAATGAGGCTAAAACAATATACTTCTGGTCAAAAGGGCAGAGTGGTAGGACCACAAGCTTGCATTCCGGGAGTGTTCATCTACGTGAGCTGCCATCTTGATTGGATCATTAGAACCAATAATTAGCCCCATCCAACAGCCTGTAGGGAAGCTCAGGCCAAACAACATACAGGGTGGGAACACAGGAACACAGCCCCACCCATCAGCAGACTTCCTAAGCCACAGTGGCCTGTAGACACAGCCCTACCCACCAGAGGTCCAGGACCAAGCTTCACCCAGCAGTCAGCAGACAATGGCTCCTCCTGCCAGGAAACCTGCATCAGCCTCCAGTCCAGCCTCATCCACCAGGGGCAGGTACCAGAAATAAGAAAATAACAATCCCAAAGCCTGTGGAAGGAGCCCACACACACAGGCCAGACTCTACATTAGAACTGGCTGGACCTTGGTCCTAGGGTGACAAGAGAGGAGTGTACTGCTGGGACCCATAGAACATCTCCCACAGAGGGCCACCTCTCCAAGGTCGAGGAATGTAACTAAGCTACCTAAAAATACAAATAGAAAGATAAACAATATGAAGTGACAGAGGAATATTTCCCAGGCCAAGGCACAAGATAAAATCCCAGAAGAAGTAAGTGATGAGGAGACAGGCAATTTATCTGAGAAAGAGTTTAAAGTGATGATGGTGAAGATATTCAGAGACCTCAAGAGGAGTACAGATGCACAGCGTGAAGTGTATATATATGTAAATTTAAAAAATATGTACAGTATATTGTGTATATGTGTTCACATGCAATACATTGTATATGTGCAGTCAAATTGTAACAATTCTACCTAATAAAACTGAAAAATGAAAAAAAAAGAAATATCATAAGAATAAGGCTCCTTTATTTAAACAAGAATACTGGACCCTCTGAGTAGGAGAATCTAGGTAATACTGCTTTACTATCAGAGAAAAGGTAGAAACAATGATCACAATAAGCCACGGGATAGAGTAGAACCAGGTGTTTTGACCTGCAGAGATCTGTGGTGGTGGTTAGTCGACCAAAGATCCATAGAAATTAAATATACCATGTATCAACATGTTGATATGTAGGTAGAAAAATTCTAGGTCAGATGAGCACAGTCGTAATTCAAGTCACGGTGCTTGGGATTCATGGCCCCTCACCCAGTTCCCAGACTCAGGTCAGTTCCTGGACCAGAATCCCTTGACTGAAGGGAAGGCAGGTTCTCTTTGAGAAAGAATCCTGCAACGTGGTCACAGGTGTACACAGTGACCCTGCCTCAAGCCTTCTTCGGAGGGACTTGAGGTCAGTACCAGGTGACTGAACAATGGGGAAAGAGAAACTCTCAGCCTTTCTGGGAGCGGTCAGATATTGGACTTGAACCGATGATAAGCCCTGGAAATCTAAAATATCATCATGGCACTCTGGTCAGAGTGAAAGTCTATAAAGGTCAAGAGATAAATGGAGTTTTGGCCCCACTTTCTTTTCCAAGTGGATCCAGCAAGACCGTGAAGCCAGTTTTTTGTTGCTGTATTTCTTTCTCCAATCACAGAATACTGAAAATCCCTAACTCATAAAGTAAAAGGCTATTATGGTAGGAAGGGAAGAGACACATAGAGGCTCCTAAAGCTGTCCCTTCTCGCCCCCTCCCTGGGAGCACTAAACCTAAGGTAATACCACATTCCTGCAGAAAACTGCATAGTGAACCACATCCCTGTGGAAAATTGTATACACTGCTGCCACAAAGACCTGAAAGATGCAGGAGCAGTGATCTTACCATACCCCATACCCATTTTACTCACCTATTTGGCTGCTGCAAACACCAGGTAAGTCTTGGAATTATGTCCAAGACTTCAACTTACAAACTTAATTGTGTGTTGATGCCAATCACAGCTGCAGTTTCTGATATGGTGTCTTTACTAAACAGTATTGCCATTAGCAACAGCAGTCACTGACCTTGTAAAAATACTTCCTACCAATATTCCTATCAGTAAAGATCATCAGAAGAAACCTGCTTGCTTACACACAGCAGAGAGCTGCATCCCTTCAGTGCCTCATCTCAGTGATGTGTCAGCTCAGTTCTCCTCTCTGGCACAAAACAGACCAGAGGGATATCTTTATAGTCTTGATATCTCACAAAATATCACGCAGGTCCATTAAACTGAGGACATCATGCTAACCAGACCTGGGGAGCAGAAAAGAACAAGCACCCTAAACAATGCCAGAAGACAGGGTGAAAAGGTCCGCGGGACTGCTCAGTGGAAGAGGTTCCTGGCAGTGAGGGCCTGGGGGTGTATCAGGGTATCTCCTCTAGAACGGAGACAGGTGGTTGCACTTTGTATTCATTGCTCATCACAATAAAAGGGGCACAATGCCTGGTGAACCTCTCTGGACTTCGGAGTCAGTCTATACCACATTTGGGCATGCTGCTATAACACATTTACTGGCTAGCCTGTAAATTTGCTTTTTTTTTTCCTGTGGTAAAATATATATAACATAAATTAACCATTTTAACCATTTTTAGATGTATAATTCAGTGGCATTAAGTACATTTATATTGTTGTGCAACCATCACCATCATCCATCTCCATGTTCGCAAACTGAAGCTCCGTACCCGTTAAACAAGTAGAGTTAAAATGAAATCAGTATCTTATTTGCATGGATTCTTTTCTGTTTTGGCTTTCTCTTAGCCATTATCTTACTGTCCTCATTATTGAAGAAGGATGTAGAATTGTTAGAAAATGTCTATTTTCTGTCTAGAAACTAGCAGCAGATAACAATCACTTGCCACATTGATTTTCCTAATGCAAGAGGAAATGGTTCATATTTTTGTAGTCAAAATCCATGTTTTCATTCCATTTTTCAATTTTTAATCCTTTCTAGGGAGACCTTTGGGTATCAGACACATTACCAAAAAGAAGTTGTTTGTCACCATAAACTATTAAGTGACAAGTAATGGATGGCTGTGACCTGTCACCAATGTCTGATGAATATCTTCCATGTGGAATGTCTGAAATTCTTAGTAAACATGCATATGTGGGACCCTGATTTGTAGTATTCCTATCTGGTATAAGTACCTGGATTATTATTTTATTTACATATGGTATTTTAGCCAGAGAACAAATGAGTTCCTCTTCCTAGTAATTAAATAAATCTATTTGCTATTACTAGTATTTACAATTCAGTTTTTAGCCTTTAAACTACTGGGCACAGCCACCTACATACCACTCCCATGATTAAACTTGTGTTCACAGCAAGAAATATGACATATTTTGAAATGTGGTTTTCTTTGTTTCAACTCTAAAAAATTTATTCAAAGCAATAAGGTAAGATTCACTAGAACACTTCCCAGTATTACAATCTGCAAAAATACACTTTCAGGACAATTCAAAGTGTTTTACTGTTGTATTTTTAAAACTCCACAACCTCATTTTAAGACATTACATGGTGAGCCTAGAAGGCAGCATAGCCAGGGCATGAGCTCCCTTGAAGACTGAGGTCTGAAATGGAGGTCCTCATAACCAGACGGTTGTTAATGGCAGAAGTCTATAAAATATTTACTTTAATTAAAAACATCAGCCTGGTCATCAAAAGTTTTCTAGGACTTAACCTGATGCTCTGATGTTCAGACATATTGCCTCCAAAACAAACAGAAACCACGCTAATACTCCTTAAAAATATTCACCCTTCCAGATAAAATCCGGCTAGGTATTTACTTCTAAAATAACTAAATTGGCTGGCTCATAATCCAACAGATTTCTTTTTTAAACAGATGCGATAACTCATTATAGTGAAAGAAGAATATTAATTTGGGCTTGGGGTTAGGTGCGACTCCATGCTGCATGTGAGTAAACAACTAGGATTGATTTATTTAGGAAAAGAAAAACAGGTCAATAGATAACTATATCCAAATAGTGGAAATGTGAAAGGATAAATTTTACTGGATTACTGAACTATGCAGTTAATTATTCTAGTATTTCAACTGGAAACACAACAAGGGATAATAAAAAAAAAATCAAGATTATGATGACTTTAGGGGAGGAAAGAGGAGAAATCGCTAAATAAAGAAAACAGTATGATTTTAAAATTTCTGATCAAATAAATAAGGTGGAAAATTGCATAAAATAAGAAGCGACATCACTGCATCACCACTAGATGCACACAGAGAAAGTGTTCACTCAATCTCTGCAGAATAGTGAGTCTGTAAAAGCAAAGGGAAAATGAATTTGGCAGAACCTACCTTGAGTTACCGCCAAGCCTTACATGTTTCAAAGGTGGCTTACGACATTTGATGAACTCAAAACACAGGTTGTGTAGCTCCTAAAATTTTACCTCTTTATGGTTCCTATTTACAAGCTTTTATATGTGTAAAAATGATATAAATGTTTAATAATATGGGTTATTAGATATAAAACATCCAACAGAATGTACTCATTGACAGTCCCTGGAAATCATAAACACAATTCCAAATTAACTATTAAAGAAATGATTGGCTTAGTCTGAGCCAATGTCAAAGCTAAGAAAGTCAGCCAAAATATCAATGGTCTTAGCAAGGAGACACGTATGGATCAGAAATAAAGAGCAAAGAGACAGTCAATCTACTCACAGGAAGTCCTTGTTCCCCTGGTGGCCCAGCTTTTCCAGGGTTTCCTGCAGTGCCCTCTGCTCCATGGTATCCTTGCGTGCCTTTCGGCCCAGGTAGGCCTGGAAGTCCCTTGGTGATTAGAAATTACTTGGATTACAGAGAGCTGCTGTACAGGAGTTTAAATGACAAATGCCTCTATACTTATTGGGGAAGGGGATTACATTTTTAATATACTCTCCCGGGATAAATTTTCCTGTTTCTTGGATTCCTTAATAATTTTCTATTTGGATTCAAGAGATCAGGTAACTGTCCTTAAAAGTTCCCTATGCAACAATGCCAAGCTAATCAACAATTTGCTGTGTAACCTTTTCAGCTTTAGTGTCATTTTCTGGTATTTCTCCTTGTGCCAGCCCATGCTTCATCCAGCTGTGGAGGAAAGATGAGCCATATGCACCTGTCAGGTTAGGATACAGGCTGTCATTCACCGTCTCCAAAACTTCCTGTTATATTATTTTCCCCAGAAACAAATTACAGCTCTTTTGGTTGCCACTTTGAATTAGATAATTATATGACTGAGTAAAAGTCTGAACATTTTGTTTCTACTCTTGGGCAACTGGATTTAATCTGTAGGAACTGCTGCTCTGAATGTGCTTATAATTTATGCTCATTTTTCTCCACTTTTTCTGAACCAACACAGGCTACCCAAAGCAGGCCCTTGGCTAGGGGAGACGAGCAGGAAGTCTTTGCTAATAAGCTAGTCAACACATGTTTGCCTGGCCAGAGAGGAAACTGATGGCTAAGGTAAAATTAATCTTTGTTCTGTGATGAAAGGATTTACAAGTTCTTTTTCCCCTAAGATTTTCTGTTCCATTTGCCAGGAACATGAGAGGCCGGGTTCTTCAATTAAAATCCGGCTCAGGTTTTTTTAAATCGTGCTTGAAAATCTCTGACCTTTGTCACCATTTAGTCATGACTCCAAGTTCCCTACGTTTTAGAGGTTCACTCTCAGAGAGCAGTAGCGCGAGTCCACAGAGAGGGCCCCAGACACTGGAAAATAGCAGCCTTCAATTGCACGGACTTCTGTTTCCACGGCAAGCTTGGGTTTTGAGCTAACGGTCATATTTTGTCTCCTCTGTGTTCCAGCATGCGTTTAAACATTGTTTTGAAAACAAATCTGATTTATCCAACACTTGTCATAATTGGCCCCAAACTTTTTGCTCGCTGAAGTTGCCAACTCTATCTAGATAAAGACGATAAAGATGAAAAAGGCCTGTTTTACTTACAGGAATGCCAGGTTTCCCAGAAAGACCAGGAGCTCCTTTTTTCCCCTTAGGACCCTAAAAATGGGAAGCACAGTTGTCAACTGAGTATAATAAACTCAGCTAAACAGAAGGCACAGAAACGAGCCCCGAGCCCCAGACGCTCCAGCAAATACTGCCACTAACTAGGGCTTTCGCCTTGGGACTGTCGTTCAGCTCTCCGGGAGACATTTTCTGCCTCTGGAAATGAGGGAATTTGATGAGATAATCCATGAATTTCCACTTGGCTCCAAATTCTATGATTCAAGAATTTAAAATACGGTTCTAAAAGGGAACTGAATAGATTATTTAATAGAAGTCCCCACTTCCAGGCAGGGCCTTTGCCTCCTCTTTGAAACTCATTAAATACTTAATTAATTCAGTAAATTATTAACTTAATTTGTTAACTATTACATATCAGGGATTCTGTTATGTGCTGGAAATGCTCCTGTTCACAAGGCACTTACAATACAGTGAGGGGCGTAAACCAATAACCTACAATGTGCTTATCTGGAACACAGAAAAGAACATACTGTGAATCAAAGAAAAGATATTTATTTCCCACAGAATTGTTTATTTTTCCATGTGTGAGATGTTCTAAATCATAACTGATCTAGCAGGAACTGGCCTGCCAGGACAGTTAGACGTCTGCCCTTACAAATCATGCCATTGTTCTGATGATATTCTAAAATTATTTTAAGAAGAGAAATGTGGAAAAGAGTGACCTAGTTCACAAATGAGAAAAAGAAGCACACTGCCATTACGAGACACATTTCTCAAAAGTCATCAAAAAGTCTCAGGAACAGGACAATTTCACCCAAATGGGATGTTACACACGCTACTCAAATTCGAAGGTAATTGTGCCAAAGCTTCAACTTGACAACAATAACAAAATAAACAATTTCAGAAGATGCTGCATCTTCTGAAAATGAGCTTAAACATTTTAAGAAGAAATAGTATATGTAGTCACTAAGGAAAAGGGTATTTTCTGAAAGAGCTAAAAATCTGATTTTGTTAGAATTTGATGATAGGGAGATATATGGATCAAGGGTTCTACCTCCAAGTTCAAAAACTGTTTTACTTGCTTTAAAAAGTTACTAGTGTAAAGTCTTCCAAAGGGTAAGAAAACCAGAAAATGGGATAATTGGTAAACTAGGTTTAGTTGAAGTAAATATAATTTCTGGAGCATATGATCCCTATAATAAAATACATCTTTTAGAACATAATAAAGAAGTGAAAAAGCAAAAAAAAAAAGACTATTTTAAATATTGAAAAAGTCTGATTTCAGTTATCTTGAATAGCACTAACTAAACAATATATATGTATGTTCATGTAAGACTGAAGCATTATTCTGTACACCAGAAAATTGACACAACATTGTAAACTGACTATACATCAATAAAAGAATATATATATATACAAAAAGGTATATGAATCATGATAATATTTAAATATGTTAACCACTATTTTTTCCTTCACAAGTATTTCTCTTTATGCAAAGTGATAGATCTGTTCTAGACTTTTGATTTTCAAACTAGACTTTTTCTTAGCTTATGAATTTCAAAATAGTCTTCTGAAACTTATGGTGGGGTAATAGTTTAAAAATAATGTATTTTTTTAAATACAAAAGCCTGATGTCAAAATATTAAAAGTCTATCTTTGAGTATCAGAAACCAAGTTAATAAAGGATTCAAGTCATGAAATTTATGCCACAAAGACCATATTTAGAAGAATTATAATAATGTAAAAGACAGTTTTTCCTACCTAAGGGGATATAAAAATCTTCATGCTGGAGAAAGGTAAGAAGAAAAGCAAAGCTGTAAAGACACTGATGGGGTCTCTGAGAAGAGACCTTGACACGACTCTGCCCTCAAGTCCTGGGGTGAGTAGAAACAACAATACCATGTAAGTTTGGGGATTTGGGCACAGAAATGATGGGTAGGGAGAGTAAAGGCCACATTGAGACGTCCTAAGTTGCACTGAGTGTCAGCAACAGAGTAGAAATTTCTGCATGAAATATTTAAGCCAGTGGGTTGAGAAAGCCTGAGTCCTCCAAGTACCCAGCACAGTGTGGGGAGCAGCAGACTCCTATGTCCATGTGGCCAAAAACATGTAGCCTACGGGCCCTTAGAGCCCCATCTGAGGAAACCTTGCACCTGAGTTGAGAAAAGAGCTGTACGAGCCAGCATGGCTCAGAGATCTTCTGCCAGGAGGGCCAAGGTAGATGCCAACTTGGTGGGATGATGGCAGAAGGGGGCCAAAAAGGACGATGTGCATTTTAGTGGATGCTGGCTGAAGACCAACCTCACTTCCTATTCCCCTCCCCTACTACTGACACTCAGAATGTAACTGCAAACTTGAAAAGAGAACGAATGGGGAAAACTCTAAATCAAATGCAGGATATTTGAGTGGATGGAGTTAAAGGCAGCCAATTGTCTAGATTTCCATCGGTTAGGTTTCTACCACCAGGCAGGACAGGCATTCAGGACAGAAGTCACGTTCCATTACAAGGAATATAAAGTTATACTTTCTGTATACCTGAGTTTATGGCTTAAGGTTCAAGATATGCTACACATGTATGTGAGTATTTTATTCCAAACATTCAAATAATAAAATAAAAAGAAAGAGATTCACGTATCACAAATCGATTACTTTGACTATTATGTTGGGGGTTATTTCAGAACAGTTATATACTGTGCTCTAAAATCTATACATATGGGTCCAACAACATGAAAACTAGAACATTACTACTAACTGGATGGGCATTAGGAAGCAGCTCCCAATAGAAAAACACTAAGAGAAAATTATGATTATGAAAATTATTTTTAAAGTTTACTTTCTTGCTTGTAATGGGTCACTTATGGCAAAATCTATCTACTGGACACAAAAATTGTGTATAACGAATAATAAAATAGTCTCTACTAAGGTGTTTAATTCAGGAAAGATTTCCTTATTCTAATTATTGTCGCCATAACTAAAAGGAAGTAGGCCAGTTGGAGAAGGAACAGACGTGCAACGGAGGTCTTAAATGCATCAAGATCAACAAACTGTAGAACATTGGTACTTTTTTGAATTTGAGCATTAAAAAAATACCCTCGAATTTAGAATTGCTGGATAGTCTTATAACTAAATTATGAGCCAAACAATACTAAATAGTAATCTTACACAGAGGAGGTCTGTTCAGTAGGAAATTTAAGATTGGGCCAAAGACAAAGAACATATGTTGTCATATAAGGTGTTAGGAGATGATTAATTGAGTAAGGAAAAAAAAATTATCCTACCACCAAAGCCCAGAATTCAAATATCATAAAGCTAGAAGGATTCTCTGCTCTTTTCAAACTTAACTTACTCATATCATTTTATTTAAATATAAGTACCTCATAAATCAAGAAGCAGATTTTTCTATTCTCATAATAGGAAAGGTGAATGAATTTCATATGTAGTCTTCAGAGGATGTGGAAAATTTGTGCTTTTTCTTTTGTCTGCCTGGCTTTGAAAAACAGAGTAGCCTCCATGAAATCAGATCCGTTTAAACAGCTTTCCATTCATTGGGAGTCTACTACTTCATAGATTACAAGAGAAAATAATGTAATTCTCTTGATAACAGAAATTTTTAAAGGTGCCCTTATAGTCCAAACACTCCTTTGTTTGACTTTTATTTAAATGAAGCTGAAGGACAGTCATCTCAACCCTTTGCTAGTTCTAACTTTGTTAGAGGGTAGCTTTAAAATGCAAACACAAGGGTGGGGGTATAGCTCGGTGGTATAGTGTGTGCTTAGCATGCATGAGGTCCTGGGTTCAATCCCGAGTACCACCATTTAAATAATACAAATTTTAAAATTAAAAAAAATTTAAAAATTGCAGACATAGATTTAGAGAGTTAAGCAAGAATCATAGTCTCTTTCTCTCTCTTTTTTTTTTAACCAAAAAATTTCAGTTCACTAAAATCTGGAATTTTGTTTTGGGAGGAAAATAAGATTTTGGCTTGAGTCTCGGTATTTGAAAGCCATTATGGGATAGTTCACTGCATTTGCAATATAAAAGTCATAAAAAATGTGGTGGTTTGCAACTGACTTTGACTTGACCTGCTCCAAATTTTTCTTTATAGTTGTCCATAGTTTCAGGTCTGAAAGACCAATAAATGAATTAATTGGTTAAGTAAAAGTAATCATATTTTGCTTAATTTATAAGAGATTTCAAAGTAACAGAAAGCTGCTGTATAATAATGGGAGTCAGGAAATAAAGTTTCTAGTGTTGGTTGTCTTGCTAACTAGTTTTGTGATCTTAGGTAGCTCATAATCTCTCTGGGACTTAAACTTCTTCATATGAAAAATTAGAGGGTTGTTCAAATGATTTTAAAGGGCCACTTCCAAATCTAAAAAACAAATTTAAAGCTTTTCAAAAGCAAGATGTCAGCAGTTGGACAGGATCCACCTGGCCATTCAAAATGTCCCTAGTGAATAACACATAGCCCGTGATTATTCAGGTAACAATTACTGCTATTTGAAATTCTAAGAGGCTTAACCTCGATTGTGTGCCAGTACTGCCCAAAGCGGGAAAAGAACTAGTCCCCCTGGATCACACAGGCTTTAAACCAGGACTCCTCGGCCCCTTTCAGCTCCAGTCCCCGGGTGTCGACCATACAGGCTGGAGCTGCAGTTGCCTTAGTAGGAATATTTGATTTTCACTGGTATTATTTTAACAGATACTAAGAAACATCCAAAAAACTTCTTTGTGAGACATGTCAAAAAGGAAAAGGGAAACACTGAGTATATGAAAATACTAATTGTAAAATACTAGAAATTTTAGGATCAACCCTTGGGAGAGCATTTGCATCCTTCGGCACTTAATGCAAATATCAGAAAGTCACATGAGGCCAGTGGCAGTGTTCTAGGTTCATGGCTTTTTCCACTACTTTTTCCAGTTTGGGTATTCAGAATTCTAAGTGAATGAGACAACTGTATTCTTTCTCTGCACTTTTTCTTGTTCAGGCTGGCCTTTATGGGATTTTTAAAGCTCATTATTTATTAGCTCTTAATTATTAAGGATCCTGACAGAGTTACTAGGTAGATGCCAAGACTGTTTAAAATGGCTTCTACATGAATGAAAATCTATTATCTGGTGCAATCCAATTTTGTTAGTTACACACACAAATGGGAAACACAAGTATGGATAAGGACAGCTTAACACATTAGGAGAGACATGGTCTCAAATTCATTACCTTTTATCAATTCCCACCTAATTTATTATTAAAGTACAGTACATTTTCTTAAGAATTTAATTTTAGATCAATAGCACATGAAGTCAGCATGCCATGAAAAGTAGGGCAGCAATGAACTGATGGTACAAATCACAAATCCAGTTGTTACAGAAGGTTCAGGCACTATCTATCGATGTACAGGGAAAGAAATGGCTAAA